CCTGATAGTAAATGTATGAACTGCATGGGAGGCAGGGGGCATAAACTCTCTTCCACTATTTTAATTAATACCTAGACTACTGCATCCAACTTATCTACAGTATGCTTAAATTTGAGAAATGTCCTTCTGCTCTCTTTTGTCAGCTCCTTGGCAGTCAAGGTGACACTGCTTCATGTTGTCCTGACGTGCTACGTCTCTCTATCTATCTACCAAAACTCTCGAGTGACGGGCGATTCAAAGCATCAGAATCCGAAACACATCAATGACAATGGAGCCTTTGATCTAACCTAATAGACTCTGATATTGATTACTGGATTGGACAGAGGACCTGGGAAGTGGATACCTCGATCAGTCAGTGTTTCGGCTCTCAACTCTATCAACTTATTGGAGTATCGATCTAGTGCAGAGAAAAGGGAGGGAGACTGGGCAATTGCATGATACATATGCTTCTTCCGGTTCCAAGTAAGTTCACAGCGTTCGTAGTAGATAGATAGTAAGCAGTCATGATGAATCTGGTCTCTTGACCTCAAGACTCAAAGGTGGGTGGGAGTCCTTGCTGCTGCTGTATCTATCTATCTGATACCAGAAATGCCGCACGGTACTTCCTTCCACTCAGATTCGATTTGGGCTGGATAACTAGCATCTTTCTGACTATGTTCGAAGACTTGATATTTTCTTCGAAAGTAAGGAAGGAATTGTTCTCGTCAACGAATGGTTCATAATGCTTGGTCACAGTTCTCTCTGTACGGCGTGGCATTATACATGATATGGCCGTATTGTCCCTTACAGACCGACAGCACAGTTCTCCGACATGGTGCTTTTTTCGCTGTAGGAATAACGGTCAAACTTCTACCGGAAAAATCAAATGGAAAATCAGCTAGAGATCAATGACTATCACTTAGCTAGAATTCCAAGAAACTTGATTATCGATTGCAATCTTAGATACTCAACCTTCAAATCGTGGGAAGGGATATACGTATATGCGTGTATTCTGACATGATATACCGCTCTCAGCTTGACATAATCGACACAAACAACTTCCCCTCTGGCCAAGCCTTCTGGCTGCCATCACACCAATACTGTAAAGGTCCGATCCATTGAAGATAATTTTATCAATCTTCAAATTCAGGCTTGATTGGCATAATTCGCTGTTCTAATCGATTATCACATCTCCTGACTGTACGATCAACGGAAACGTCCTAGTGTTGACAGAACAGTGACCAACTCGATTACATCCTAACCCAAGTCAACCAAGCTCATACTGAACAACAAAGATTCATTACAGAGACGATAATCCGACCACACGACTGTTATCTGACGAAACATTTTTCACATGGAGCAAGAGCCCGCTGCGGCGGAGGCTGCAGTTCCTCGTCTCATGCGGCTGCGGGACTCCAGTTGCTCCTCCGATTTCACCGCCCCATCATTGTCTCCAGCGGGCTTCAAGCTTGATGAAGGCTATGCTGACGAGACAAAAAGCCAGTCGGACAATGATTGCTTGAAACCGTCTTCAGGCGATGCGATGTCCCTTCCGGATTGGCTCCTTGCGCTCCGAGAAGCGGACAAAGCTGGTGAGTTAGGCGTGCGGCCAGACGTGGAAACCCGTCCGGTGAAAAGCCCTTGCTGTGACAATGGAGACTGATGGGCAATCTTCTTGGCTCTGCAGAATTCGCTTATAACTTGCTCCGGACCCTACGAACCTCTACTGTTGCTTCGGTCGTCGATCGACTCGCCCCTCTGTTGCACATGGACCCTGTTTTCAAACTACCGCCCGAAATCACATCCGAGATCTTCTCCTACCTTGACCCCAAGACCCTTTTGACAGCCTCATTAGCATCCCGTGCTTGGCGGAGCCGCATATGTGACACTCGACTATGGAGAGACCTATACATCAGCGAAGGCTGGCGCGTCGACATCGACGCCATCCGCACATTCGAACAGACGCACTCTGCGCTGTCCTCGCCGCAGAGTCGCAAGTCCCGGTCGAGACATGAGGATCCGGATGCTGGAGAGCCGAAGAATAAGAAAAGAGTCCCTCAGGGTTGGCTGGACTTGCGTGCTACAGAAACAGTATCGGATGAAGCGCCAGCACGGGACTTCAGAGCGCCCGTGGAAGCGGATAATGAAGGAGACCACCGGATGAGTGATGCTGTAAACGACGGTGCCGTGTCGGCAGCCTCGAGATCTTCGCCACTGTCTCCCAGTAACAGACGTGATTCCCGAGCTGTCGATTTAGCCAAATCGAATGGTCAGCCGCTGTCCACTTCCCCAAAGTCCCAAATCATGATTCGAATGCCTAATGGCGCCATGCGAATCAACTGGCCACACCTCTACAAACAACGAAGACGCTTGGAAGAAAACTGGGCGAAAGGCAGATTCACTAACTTCCAACTCCCGCATCCGGCCCACCCAGAAGAGGCTCATCTGGAGTGTGTGTATGCAATTCAGTTTACAGGGAGGTGGCTCGTCAGCGGTAGCCGAGATCGGACTGTTCGCGTTTGGGATTTGGAGACCAAGAGACTTCGGTATCGTCCCCTTGTCGGTCACACAAAGTCGGTGCTATGCCTACAGTTTGACCCGCGACCGTCGGAAGATGTCATAATATCGGGGAGTAGTGACAAAAATGTCATAATTTGGCGATTCTCTACCGGTGAGAAAATCCATGAAATCACGTCCGCTCACGATGACTCCGTCTTGAACCTCAGATTCGACGAGCGCTATCTTGTTACGTGCTCTAAGGATAAACTCATCAAGATCTGGAATCGACGAGAACTTACACCACTAGACAAAGATTATCCCAGCGTTCGTCAAGGACTCGGAGTTACGTATCCGTCCTATATTATTGACACAAGCGAAATTCCATCTCCTGTTTTGGAAGCAGAGCTTGCCAAAAACCACATCAGAAGCTTGAGGCCTTACTCTCTTTTGATGACGTTGGATGGACACGGGGCGGCCGTTAATGCCATACAGATGAACGACGATGAGATCGTTTCTGCGTCGGGAGACCGTCTCATCAAGATTTGGGACATCCACAGCGGAGCATGCAAGAAGACTCTCCCGGGGCATGAAAAAGGCATTGCGTGCGTGCAATTCGACAACCGACGTATTATCAGTGGAAGCAATGACGATACAGTCCGAATTTTCGATCATGCCTCTGGTGCAGAGGTCGCTTGTTTACATGGACATGCCAACCTGGTAAGAACCGTCCAGGCTGGCTTCGGTGATCCACCGGGCGCCGAGGAAGCCATGAGACTTGAAGCTCTGGCAATCGAGAATGAGTTCTGGGACGCTCAACGCTCTGGCGAAGGGGTGGACTTGGGTCCAAGTGCCCTCAGACGCGCCGGCTATCATCAAAACACTGCGGGCTCGCGAAACCCTCGGGACATCAAGGCCCTGGGTTCCAAAATACCTCCAGGCGGAGGTGGTAGTCAATGGGGTCGGATTGTCTCGGGGTCATACGATGAATCAATCATCATCTGGAAAAAAGACAAAGAAGGCCGATGGATCATAAGCCAGCGGTTACGGCAGGCCGACGCCGTCGCCAACGCTTCACAGGCGCACCCGTCCTCTTCACGGACAATGGTTCCTCCCCCGCGAGTTCCGCAGAATCAGGGCCCGCCTTTGCCTCAGGGGCAAGCTGCTATGCCTCCACCTGGACAAGCACCTCCCATGCAGCATCTTCCCCCCATCAACCAAATTCATCAACAGGCTCCTATCACTCAGTCTGCGCCTGGTCAACAAAATGCTGCCTGGAACTCTTGGAACCCAGGCAACGCCAACGCTCAACTGGGGCACGCTGCGAATCCGGCACTGTTGATCCAAGCCCAACATCACATGCAGAACGCGCAGCAGATGCAGAACCCCGTACCGCCGCACCACCACCACCATGTCCGCGTGAACCGAGCTCTAAACCCGCAAGGCGGCCACCCTACATCGAGGATCTTCAAACTGCAGTTCGATGCTCGCAAGATCATCTGCGCCAGCCAGGATCCCAGGATCGTGGGATGGGACTTTGTGGGCGATGATGAAGAACTCAATGAAGCGTGCCAATTCTTTACCGGTCTATAATACTGTAATTCGACCTCCGTTCCCCACTCGAGGGCGCTTTCTCTCGGCCTTATCTCGTCACATAGTTCTTTCTCTGTCCTTATTAGCATGACCACTTCACTTTCTGTGCATCTATGTCAGTCATTCTTCTCTATGCCCGATAATCCTTGCCTCTACATCTCGGTTTCATCGCCTTTCCTTCCAAGCCTTTTCTTACTTTCCATATTCTTCCCACCACAGCACACGCATATTGTCCCTTACTTTTCTATGTCCAAGCATATTTGCATGTGAGCAGCGGAGTTGCCTGGTATATGCCTTAGCCATTTGGATGTCTTTATTGGTTCTCTTTCCAATCATAATGAAAGAAATAATGATACGATTACAAGGCTTGGTGTTTGTTTGTAATGCAACACCAAAGGGAGCCAAGTACAATTTATGATTAGCAACAGGTTCTGATGTGGTTGATTGTCCCACGGCTCTCCGCGTTTTGTAGTGATGTATGCCAATCCGAGCGTCCAGAGAAGGATTCGGCCGCGTGATTGCCCATTTGACAGGCCAAGATTCTGCGTGCTCAGGTCTGTAGAAGCCGCTTGATGGATAGTACTAAACTCTACAGTTAATCCCATTGGCAGGCGAGCTTCTTGCAGTGGTGTACGTATCGTTCGAAGATTGCGAGTATATGATGTCGTCCTGTTCGAAGCCTGGGAGGCAACAGCAGAGAGAAAGCGCCCTGTTCTGTAGAAACTGCAGCAAAGGGTCCGCTGACCCGTGGACTGTTCCAGTCATGTCGAGGGATCGACGAGGCTCGTCAATTCGATCGGAACTCTGTTGCTGGGGATCATTGCCACTCAGTGAAGTACGACCATGCCGTGCTTGGGAGATGCTAGTCTGTCTAGGGATGAGATTTTTTGCCTGGGACACCGTAGCAAGTCCTATGTTTCGAGATCGACCAGTCACGGCCGGTTTAGGTATTGCTGGCGTGACACTGGAAGAATCGAAATGATGAGTCTCTTCAGCGGCATTGATGCTTCGACTTGCACTAAGCTTGTGGGCTTCACGAACCTCGTACCATATTCATTCGAACGGTTAGCGTCTCTTTCCTCCTCGACAGTCTCACAATCAGCCGCAGGAAGCGCTCTCCGGTGGAAAGGATGGTCGTCCAGTCGTCTGACCAAGCTCGTACCATGGGCGCTATGCCGATAGGGAAAGCGTCCTAGCACTGCCGTACCATCTTCAGCCCTTGCAACGGGGATCGGCTGTCTAGTAGGCCGAGGAGGGGCGGGAGAAGAGAGTCCGAAGAGCCTGCGCAAGGTTTCCCCATAAGATGCCACACCTCCACCATTCGAAGTGAGTGTACCTGTGGTTTGTGGAGCTCTCTGTTGGATATGTCCCTCGCGAACAAAGGACCGAACGAAGAACTGGGTAGAGTAGGACATCGCTTCAGGACTTCCGAAAGATGGAAGGCCCGGAGGTGTGGGTGATCTATATGGTGGAGAAAATCGCGGAATAGCAGGACGCACTGGCGACCCTTTACGTCCTGGCCATCTGGGAACTCGTTGGACGTCGTCTACGTCATTGAGACTAGCCACTTTACGATGACGAGCCTTATCGCGAGAGTGCTTCTTCAATGAGACGTCCGACAAAACAAGTTCAGACTTGTCGTCATACCTCGCGGTCGCTGCGACGCAGTTGTCTGATAACGGATGCGAGTCCCGCATTGGACCTTTGATCATCTGCTCCTTTGAGAGACAGAGAGCATGAGAAGCATGTGCTTCAAGGGCTAAAGGAATGAACATGGCCATATTCGCTGCTATCCCAGTGTCTAAGATTTCGTCCATGGGGTTATCAGTGCTACGAGTCAATGAATAACGGTCGTCCACCGAACCCGCTCTCGCAGCATTGTAGATGGAGCTTTCGTCGCTGGTCAATGGCACAGATAGTCCCGTATTCGTGTTTCGGACATTTCCATGAGATGTCTTTCGACTACTAAGAAATGACTGTTGATCGGAGGACACAGACTCGGTCGAGACAGGACGACATCGGACTGACATGTTCAATGACAAACAGGAGTCATGAACGAAAGAATAATGATCAGTAAGGCTGCAGAAGACGCTGTGTACCAAGTGTGAGCGAGGATCCGGGCCGTGGGATACAATCTTTCGCCCACAGACTTCCTTATGGCCCTGTGCACCTTCCGCATCATTCGTATGCAATGTTTGTCTTCGTCACAGGGCAGGAGCTGGAATACGGATGCAGCATCCACAAACGGAAAGCGATAGAAAACAAGATGATTGATGATACAATGTCAGCTTCGTTGTCATATGTGCGGAGACAAATATAAATACAGATGGCCAGAGTTCGGAAATAGTACATGGAGGGAATTAGGAAATAAATATGCACATCGAAAGTATTGGTTGTACTGATTGATAGGTGACATGAAAGCTGGGATAACCGAAAAGAGTTAAAAAAAAAAGAAAGTCTATAGGATATCATGATCATAAAGCCGTGACACTGTGGCTGAGATTCGACTTGCCAGTGCTTGCTGCTTGTTCTTTCTTCAGATTCCGAATCTGAGTCTCTAGTCGTCTTCGTTCTTCTTGTTCCGCCTGCACAGATAGGTTAGCATGGAAGAACAGCAAAGGCCGCGACATTGTAACTGACCTTGAGGATCTTCATGTTCTCAATGCGAGTGTCACGCATCATTTTCTTGAATTCATTCTTCAGGACCATTGTAGAAGTGGTCTCATACGTGCCATCTCGTCCCACTGCGTTGTTGACACCCATCCAATTGATTCGCTCCTCATTGAGCTGCGTCTCCAATTGCTCGCAGCGGTCACGTAGACCGTCAATCATGCTTTCGTACCTCTCACGCTCTTTTTCGAACTCGATGCTGGCCTTGGTCATGACTTCATAATCGTCAATAGTTTCCCGGAGTTCCCTTTCCAGCATCTGCACTCGCTGCTGTAGATCGCTGCTACCAGGCTTTCCGGCTTTGAGGGCTGCGAGCTCCTCCGCAAGCTCAAGATTCCTAGTGTTCAAGGCATCAAGTTCCTTTTGGATAGCTGGATTGGCGGCCACCTCTGCTGCTCGTTGGGCTCTGCTACCGTACGCACCATCGAGCTCCGCTTTGGCCATTGTCAGTTCCGTTTGTACCCTGACTACTTCGCCTTCCATTTCTGTCAATTCAGCCTGCAGACGACTCGCGCTCTGTTCTGCGTTTGTGCGCCCCTCAGCTGCTTCTCTGAGCCGCGACTCCATGTCAGTGCGAAGTTTTTCCATAGCGTCTTGCAGCCGAGAAACCTCGCTGGCCATCTCACTCAATTCAGCCTGCAGCCGGGTCGCACTGTCTTCTGCCAACACACGAGAATCTAAGGCTTCCTTGATCCGTGCGTCAGCATCGTTGCGAACTTGCTGCATCGTCTCCTCCAGCTGCAGTACTTGTTGTTCGGCTCGGTCTCGGGCCTCGTCAGCTTCTTCCGCTCTGGCGTTTGCCTCCTGACGAAGTTGATCAACCACACTCTGCAGACGTGTGACTTCACTATCTGCCTTCAAGCGAGCGGCAGCGAGTTCCTCTGTTTGAGAGGCGCTTTCGGATCGAAGCTGTTCGAGATGGGATTCAAGACGAGCGACCTCGTGCTCAACCCGCACACGGGCTTCATGAGCTTCCGTCTGCGCGTCCCTCCCCTGCTTAAGTTCCTGCATGACAGTCTGTAAGCGCGACAGTTCCGCCTCCACGTGGGCTCGAGCTTCCTTCTCGGATGCCAAAGCGCTCGCGTGACCTTCGGCGACGCTCTTGTGTTGTTGAAGGTCGTTGAGTTCCTGACGTAGAGCTTCGAGTTGCTTGATTGCCAGGTCGAGTTCATCCTTTGCACTCTGAGACTCCTGCTCAGACAGCTCGAGGTCTTTCCGGAGATGAGCGATCTGCTCGACCAGATCGGCTATGTGTGCATCTCGTTCCGCGTCCGATTTGGAGTTCAATTCCCGCTGTTGCTGAATTTGAGTTGTTAAGATGCTCTTCTGTTCGAGGAGCTTCTCAATCTGGCTGTGAAGGTCATCAATACTGAGATTCAGGTAATCGAAATGTGCTTGTAGGCCGTTCCCTGATGACGCCGGGGGAGGAGAGAGAGCCTGCGAACGAGACAATCCAGATTGCCCCACAATGTGGTGTAGTCGGGCGTTGATTTCCATTAAATGGTTCTCCGTACCGTGATCCAACTCCAAGGCGCGAGGTGTCTCAGCTGACTTTGCAGCGATTATATTCAAACCACGCTCAATGTAAGCGAGGAGCGCTTCGACTGTCGCTGTGGGATTGATCGATGTCGCATCACCCGAAGTTCGAGGAATCGCATCATAGTCGCTCTCAGGTTGCAGCCTTAAAACCATGTCGCGCAGGTTCTCACTCAAAGCTTCCAGCTTTCTTTCGGTATCGGCGATAACTTCAAGCCCGATCATCTCTTGGCCACCGGAACCAGCTGGCCCATCAAGATTGTCTGACGTCTTGTACAAGCTTCTGTCGTCAAAGTCGTCGATGCTGCCGCGGGTGTTGTGGCTAGAGAGGCTCTCCGGGGTATGTGGGACGTTCCTCAGGTTCTTCTTCAACCCCTTATGCGTCATCTGTAGAACACCGGCTGTATGCTCCAATAACCTTTGGCGTACGTGCTGCGCCTTGCGTTCCAACTTCCAGACTTCGTGAGCAAGATCTTCACACTTTCGTGTGCTTGCTGCCAGTTCCTCATCCGCTTTGTCCGTAGCGCCGAACCCATTTCTGGGACTGAGATGAGACTTCGGCGATATCCCTGCGTCGTATTCTTCGCTAGTCGTATGGTTTGTTGAGTTGTTTAATCTGCTGAGCGACAGAGCCGCGTCGCGCAGTTTCATTTCCAGGGCTAATTTCCGGTTGGCTGCGTTTAGGCGACTAGACAGAAAGGAGTAATCTTTCTTCAAAGCCTCAACTTCCTCCAAAGACATTATCTCATAATTCATGCTGTCCCCCATAGCGGTTTCGGTGAGTAGGTACATGGCGACGGGGTCGTTGGCGTTCAGCAAAGCTGGACTTCGTGGCTGGGTCGGATTGAGCTATAAGAATAGTTGTGTTAAAAGCATGGTTCAATATGAGAGAGAAACCGAGGGAGGGTTCAACGCACTGGGTTGTATCGCAATTTCTCCGCATATTGGGGCTCGAAGGTCTCACGGTAGCCGTCCATGAGAACCTTGGCTGGAGGCGCCGGAGGGGCCTCGAAAGAGGCGGATGATAGGTATCTCGGGTCGCCATAGGATGACTGGCTAAAGCGATCGTGATCGTTCATCTTAAGTTCTGGGGAGAAGATATCTCGATGAAACGCGCGATGGAATGCGGCAATGGATTGGTGTGGAGAATTGTCTCAGGGGACGAGCCGTCACCAAACAGGGTTCATTATCATAAAGCAGCAGCTACTTCCACGTCAACCGACGTCGATGAATGGCAATTTGTGTGGAAAGAGATATAACAGAGTAATGGCGAGTTATTCAGAGGATATTGAAGGATAAGGTGGGAGGGAAAAATGACTTTGGGGGAATTGAAGAGCAACGATCAGCAAGAGTCTAAATTCTAACCTAGAAGAAGAGGATGAGGAGGCTATCTGAAGGACAGGCCTACAGACCATAATATGATGGATCAACATTCACAAGTACATCATTCATCAAAACATTGTTGATATGATTGAGGATATAATAACGGTCGCACGAACTATCTAGGCTCTAGGAGAAGAGATATGACTGGTAGTAACTATCTACATGCATATGGATATGCTTTGTTGTTTTTCTGCATCTCAGCTAGAGAGGTACTTAGAGGCGCTTAGATAGGTGACAAAGAATTGGAATCAGCAAAAGACTCTCGCGTTCTGGACCACCAGTTAGACTTATGGAATGCATGAGACAATCTTCTCGATCTGATCAATCTCCTTTTGATAGTAGATAATATTCACTTGGAACTTGACACTCTGATCCTCTGAAAATATGGTTCCTTAACCAACCCCTGGTTCAGCCCCAGATGTTCCCCCCTGAAATCCACCTAGACTTACTGAAGGTACGAGGTATCTAGCCAATGATCTCGTCTTTTGCTTAGGCGCAGGAGACTTGCGTATTCCGAGAAGTATCAGATCCACAGCACCTCTCTATCCGATCTCAACCATCAAAATGATCAGTGGGATTGCATATATGGCTGTCTGAACTTTGAAGAATCGACTAGGTCTTTGCACAATCATAAACCCCAAGTTGATGGCGCATCTGAAGTGATCTCCTCGGAAACGGAGTACTTTGAATACACAACACAAGCGTTTCAAGTTGACCAGAGCGAAGCAAGTCTTTTATCTGATTGGTATAGATACCCTTGCAACACTAACTAGAATTGGTCCATCTTCAGTTGACTGTTGATAATAATCCTTTCAGATCTTTTACGGGCGGGGATGAGAGAGAGAGGACGAAGATACACGAGACATGTTCATGTAGATAGTATCTAGCCAGCATCCAGGATATATTCTCCTTAGACTAGTCTACCTAGTCCAGGTTCAATCAGATTTTTAATTACTATTGTGAACCGTTCGAAATTAGACAGAAAATGCTACTAACTCAACTGATTGGCAGTATGATTATTATTGCAAGCGGAGCGTACCTAATAATCCACCAGAGGACTCCGTATCTAGCCTAAATACCCCACATTCTCGATCGCAGGCGCCCTCATGATCACTTATCTGGTCTGTCTTTGACTGGGTCTCACGTTCACCATCAGTATGTAACTACGTACTAAAATTAGGGACCTCGGAAGAAACCAAAAAGAAAACCAAAGGATTAAAGGATTATCTTAGTGGAGGGAATGAAACTTACCTCTCATAAATAACGCCACGGTTCTACCGACAAGGCTGTCGACGAACTAAAGCAACTAACTGATATTAACCAGCATGTGGACGGCCTGTGACAACTCTCATCATCTAGCAAAATCTCGCTCATCTCCTCGTCGCATTAATAGATATCTTCTGCCCCATCCTCTGTCGTCTGGAGTCATGGTATTCCAGTCGACATGTCTGTGTCGCAAGCATCCAAGATGCCCGCAGGTCACTCCGCAGCCGATTCCCAAGATGGTATTCTTCTATCAGCAGACCCGTTTTCTACGGTGACTGTGTATAAGGTGTATAAACGACGATTTTGGGGGCTGGCTCAACTAGTTTTGCTGAATATTGTCGTCAGCTGGGACGTAAGTGCACTATTCTAACAACAGACGCAAAACCCGAATTTGGCTAATCTTTGCACGTTCCTGAGAAACTCAGTGGCTCACCTTTTCTTCTATATCCACCACCGCATCGCAGCATTTTGGTGTGTCGGAAAGCGCCATCAATTGGATGAGCACTGGCTATCTTTTTGCCTTTTGCGTCGCTAGTCCAGTTGTCATCCTCACTCTTAACAAAGGCGGTCCTAAACCTGCCATCATCACTACATCTGCACTCCTGCTCGTGGGCAACTGGATTCGATATGCCGGAACGAAAGCTCGGGGAGGCATCTTCGGTGTGGCCATGTTTGGACAGATCCTCATCGGTCTTGCGCAACCATTCTGCTTGAGTGCGCCGACAAGGTACAGCGATCTTTGGTTTTCTGATCGAGGGCGCATTAGCGCAACGGCTGTTGCAACTTTGGCCAATCCATTGGGGGCAGCCTTGGGGCAGTTGATCGATTCGTTCTGGGCGACAACCCCCGAGCAGGTTCCAGATATGGTTCTGTACATATCGATCATTGTAGGTGCATCGTCGAGCCCATCAGCCCAGGCGTGAATTGTCACGCCGTGCCAGTTGTGGTCAAAACAACCCATATCAGCAGCATTACTGACGGCACACATAATTTGACAGGCAACAGTCGCATCAATCCCATCATTCTTCATTCCAGCCGCACCCCCAACGCCCCCAAGTGCTTCATCAGCGGCCAGTAAAACACCCCTCCGCCCGGCGCTCCTTCAGCTCCTCAAAACCCTCGAGTTCTGGCTCATCCTGATCCCGTTCTCCGTCTACGTGGGCTTCTTCAACAGCGTCTCCTCCCTTCTGAACCAGATTCTCGAACCATACGGCTTCTCCGAAACAGACGCCGGCATCGCAGGTGGCATCCTCATCATCGTCGGCCTCATCAGTTCGGCTATCATCTCTCCCATCACCGACCGCTTCAAGCACTACCTGGGCACCATCCGGATCCTGGTCCCCATCGTCGCCATCTGCTACATCGCCCTCATCTTCGCCCCGTCCAGTCCCGCAGGCATTGCCCCGGCATACGTCGTCTGCGCCCTCCTCGGCGCATCCTCCTTTGGCCTCCTTCCCGTCGTGCTCGAGTACCTCGTGGAGATCACGTACCCCTTCTCGCCGGAGATAGGAAGCACCATCTGCTGGACGGGGGGCCAGCTCCTCGGCGCGGCGTTCATCCTCATCCAGGACGCCCTAAAAGCCTCAGATAATGCTTCGCCGCCCCAGAACATGAAAAATGCCTTGATTTTCTCGGCCGTCGTGGCCGCCGTTGCGGCGCCGTTTCCAATCTGCATTGGGCTGTTTGGGCGAGATGTCCGCCGCCGCCGGTTGGATGTCGATCGCGGCGTGGCCTTGGAGGATACTGTATTCCGGGGCCGGGAGGGCGTGCGCATGGGTGATGAGAACCCCAATACCGGACTGGATCCTGCTTCTGACATGCCGAAGCTGGCAACTAAATACTCATCTTGAGGATGATCTGGAAATACTCTTGGATAACGAGTCAGTATCAGGGAATGCTTTGACGATCTAGTTTGGTTATGCTCAGCTGTTTTCCTTGTTTTATACGGTGCTCCTTTTTGACCGTAAAATGTCTGGTGAAACCTGTCGATACCTAATGAGCTTGTGTAAATTTATAATGTCTTCTAACATACCAGTTGAGGTGAAATTTAACGTCAAAGTCCGCGTTGAGTACTCAATGTACATTAAATCATGGAAGAGCAATCTACAGCCACCAGGCCTCGGAGAGGGAGAGCACCACAAGTCTAAGCAAAGCGGAAACATTGATTCTAAAACAAAGAAAAATGCAAAAGCACAGTTTCAAACAGGCGGAGACCAGCTATCTGTACATACAGGCAAAGGATGCCATTTTTTACCATCCTCCATACCGTAACATAACAAGGCCAGCAGCAGAATGATAGGGCCGTCCCATTTCCAGCATATATCCCGGTCAAGAAGGCCCCATGCTCATTCGATGCTGGATTCTATATCGGCAGGCTGACATTCAATTATGCCGGCCATCATGTACTTCTATTCAACTCCTCCCGGCTCTTCTTCTATTCGATCAAATAACCAACGTGGCATTTTGGGTTTCGCTTGTCATTGAATGCTGAAAAAGAGCAAGAGGGATCAGTCCGAGGGCGAACCGCTTATTTGAGAGCCTTCCAGAGCTTGGGGGCAGCGCAGTTGGTCGCGCAGTGGGCGAGGTGGAAGACTGTTAACAGGTAAAGACAGCGTTAGACGGCAATCTCACGAACACATCTTGAAGGCCAACGAAGCTAGCCGAATCTCAAATATTCCAATCGAGTCACTTACACTCCTCAACACAGTCCTCCTTGGGGCCCTTGTGGTCGGGGTCCTCCTCCTGCCGGGTTACGCGCTCAACGCACTCATCGTAGTGGTGCTTGTAGGGGGCGCACTGGGGACCGTTGGCGCAGTCTGTTTATGATAAGGTCAGTAAGTATCAAATAACAATGCTGGATAAGTAAATAGAAATGGGACTTTGCGCCGGTTCCAGGCAATCCTATGATGAGGCGGACAACCGGAGATCTGAATGCATGTGTATCCACTCCCATGAATAGCAACAAATCCACCCAACGACGCAGATGTGCCAAAGAGGAAAACCCCAGGTCGACAACGAGTGACTCACCCTCCTCAAGCTTAGGCTTGACGTCCACAGCCTCCTCTTCCTCCTCCTCGGGCTCCTCTTCCTCCTCGGGCTCTTCCTGGCTTTCCTCGGAAGACTCATCAGCAGGAGTCTCCTCGCCAGATTCCTCCGTGCTCTCGGTGCTCTCGGTGCTCTCTTCCTCGGTCTTCTCCTCGCTCACGTCGGACTTGTCCTCGGATTCAGCCTCCTGGCTGGTCTGCTCGACGGCCTCGGCGGGAGCCTCAGCCTGAGCCTCGGGGAAGCTCAGGGAGGAGATCATGTCGGAGAAAAAGTCGGCGAGACCCATCCTGACCGTGTGAAAGTATCAATTGACGAGAATGGAGGGTCTAGAGTCGAGAGTGTGGGGGTGCAATGGCAGCAGCGAGCGAGATTTGATGAGGATGGTGGTTTTACGAGGCTTTGGCTCCGACCGTCCAGGAAAATCGGAACACGCCGGCGCCGGGAAGGTCGAATTGTCGCACACGTGATTGGCCGACGCTTCGGGAGGGATGCCTTTGTAAACTGTGTCGTTCAATAAACTACTCATTCTTCATTTCTCTACTGCTCACACTATCTGTACGGCTCGATGGATCATTCATAGAGAGGATTGAATTCCCGGCGCATAGTTTCTCGGACTCGAGCCTGTTTTCTGTCCTATTTCATCGCGATGAGTGATTTATTCCCCAATTATTGTACATTAAACCTGAAGATATCTTGTAATGTAATGGGAAAGCCTTTGACAAAAAGATGAAGGAAAGGGAACAGTCGTGAAGACGGAGAATGTCTAAGCAAGATATTTCAATGTCTAGAATTATCAGAATCGCCTCCCACTCGGCGTCAACTCGCACGGCGTAGCCTTTCTTCGAGTTCGTTTGCAACACTCTGTTGCTGAACTTCTTCGTAACCTGGCGGCGGATCCATTGGTTCGGCTTCTGTCCCTGCACTGTCCTGGTGACTGTACGAGTCTGGAGATAGACCTTGGTCGTGAGAGTGAACTCCAGTCATATCACTCTGTGGCCCCGTGTAGGCCGGCAGCTCTTCCAGATGGATTGTAGAGAGATCCACATTTCTCGATCCTCGGCCGCTTTCTTGTGAGAGCTCAAGTGCCTGTTGCATACGCTCCTTGAGTCTCTCAAAGTTATTGTGGAAGTCAAACGCGCCTCCCTCTTTAAACGTTACCTTCAGTTGAACGGCTGGCAATGACGGGGGAATTCCTCCTCCAGACACAGGTTGAACAAGGGTTATCCACAAGTTTGGTCCGAAAAATGGTGCAGTAACGTGCGAGTCATGTATGTTGAGAAGCGGAGCCGAGAATGACTGAAAGTCTTTTGATTTCTGGGAGGGAATATAGACAACCTATCATTAATGTCAGCAGACTTTCCAGGAGAAGGTGATGGAAAGCGTCATTCTGACCCGCTGATTGGTAAGATAGATCTGGCCGGCACCGCTCTGCAGGGATATTGAATCACTGCCCGTGTACGAACTGAGCGGTTGCAGAGAGAGACTCGTGCGCGGCGGAGAGGTGTATATCAACTGCTCATTTGGAAGTTTGACGAAGCCTTCACGGTCATGGAGCATTACCCAACTGTACAATCCAACGTCAGAGCTGATCAATGCATTTCAGGGGCAATCAAGGTGAAGGGACAATAATTGAGACAAATGACTAGCGATGCAGGTACTATGCATAACAATGAAGAGACGGCGCTGAACCTTGGGTCAGTCCACATACTTGATTGACATCTTGCCTGGCCGGCTCCAATATTGCGTAAAAGTGTCGATGTATGCGCGCGCGCTCAGGCTCAAGCGCTATTATCAATCTCGGGTTGACTTGTTCAAGGACTGTTCATAGAAATGTGGCTGCTGAAAGCCACACAGAATGATCCAGTAATGTTAGCGTCTTTGTCGATCTTCACACTGTGCCAGTTGCGTATGTAGATTCTGCAGTACCCAACAGTGACTCGAGGCGTTAGATAAATGCTAATGAAATCAGTCCGAAAGATGTCGTGACATGCGCTCATCAAAGTCCTAGACTTGTTGAGACCCGTGGGAAAGTGAAAATAAATGCGCTGACCAGATGGTCAGAGCTGTTGGTCGCAGTTTTAACAGCCTTGCTACTCCACGCTGCGTAAATGCTGCAGCTAGTTAGAGTGATGGTAAAGTCTTCACCTTCGGAAATTTCGTAGCAAAATCCGTTGCCGTGTTTGAGAATAACCAAAGTAACGCCAACAGCGATAAGCCAGCAGTTTTTGGACTCGTAGCTGCGTGATATTCGTGATGATCTGCACTATATACTCGCTATGTACTCCGTATTCTGCGGTGACGACGGATTACTGCGTCCGGTATAGCGTACCCAATTGGGAAAGCGCGTCGCTGCCGCTTGGCATCGTGATGTGTGGCCTCCTCGCCCGCCTGCCTCTCCTCGTTGCTCTCCCATCCTTCGACGCTGTGTTAGCTCAGATCAACTTAAGCTATTTTTGCCATTGGGCTGGTCTCTCTGTGCTCTGCACTTCGCCACCCCCTTTTACTGCAGCGAGTCGTGACCATTTCACGTCGCTTGTTGAAGCGTCAACTAATCGATATTGTTTCCCTTCACAGGAAACGAGGCAGAATTCAATGCGATCGCGAAACTGCGCAGACAACTACCCCGGAAACCTACATCACAGTCATCGTAAGCGACATTTCTGGGACAAGATTGGCAAAAGACTAAATGTGGCACAGATTGTATGGGTAGATTGCATGAGCTTGGCTCAGGACTTGAGAGGCTGGCAGAATGAGATCGCGATGGGTGATAAGATGGCAGTATCTTGAGACCTAATCGGGTTCGCTGAAGATCTTCAAGCCACTGGCTAAGCTGAGCCAAGCCGTGTTTGATGCCAGACATCGCTCCGTCCATCCCTTTTCTAGGAAATATTGACCCAGGGTGCTGTGACGCATGGAGCTTGATCGCTGGTGTCGCACTATATGACGGAGGCGTACTTGGCTGCCACACTGTTTTATACATGCCTCCTCCTCTTCCTCCGAATCATCCTCATTGTCATGATTATATCTGAAAACCTTAATGGACAGGCGCAATGCCACCTCGCCAGTGGGAAGCTGTGAAAAATGACATTTAAGTCGGCAGTCATTAACCACCGGCCGTCGGGTGACAAGTCGACCAAGCAGCGGTCAGTTCACTGGTAAGGGTACAAGCTTATACCATCGCTGGAGAGGCATGAAATAGTTTGGGCCTGTCCTGGCCTTCTCCCATGTACAAAAGGACATGCCGCCTGTCAGGATGCAGGGCGAAACAGGCTCCTTGCCTGACTGTGTCCAGCTCCACGCTGGCGACCACCTCACCCGTTGTGGCAGACAGCATGAACAACATGTTTGGGCCGCGGTCTACCATTGCGTCGGGGCAGTATATCCACACAGTGGCCCTATTGAGGGAGCAAACACTCGGGATTATGGATGTTGAGTGAAGTGGAGTGAGTTTTCAAACTTGTAGCGCCACAGCAAGGTTCCACCTGATTGATGCACACCACGCTGTTGGCAGTCATGCAGACCGCGCGACTCATGTCTGGGGCAACGGCTTGGTCCAGGACCTCCTCGTCGGACACGAACTGGTAGGTCGCCACGGGGTCGAGTGGCCCGTACACAGAACCAGAAGTATCCTAGGCGCACACGCACCCATCCAGATAGCGTGTGGTCGTCCGCTTCATGCCAGGCGTATAGACTGGGACGAGAGAGATACTGTCATGTACTTATGTGGCTCATGGGTAGATGTGAGACGGGTGGATGAACTCGTTGATTGCCGTTCCGAATACGAGTAAGTGTGATGATCTTGTCTACTTAGGGCAAGAGTAGGGCGAGGTTGAGAACTGCCTCGATCCTGATGATTCTACGGAGTACCCTGGCCACATCTCACCGAGCACTCCAAGCGAGTCAACTCAATCGAAGCTACCTATAATCTGAGATTTAAGCCCCTAGCTCCACAAATTCAAGGAAATAGAACAATCGCGAGGACTTTCTCTGCAAAGTCGGCCATATCTACAGCCCTGCTGATATACCAAGGCCCATAACGGTGAACCCTAGCGAAGCCGGCATTCTGGACATTGTATCCCCGGATGTATGATTCCCACCGTCGGTCATACTCGAAAAAAGAAATGTACAACATATCCCCGTTTTGCGAGATCATGGCTCTCCTACATATGTCAGATATAAGCAACCCATGCCCACATTTATATAAGAAAGACTTACGCATGGCCCGGGCCGGTGCGGTAGTCGCCCACCCAGGTCGCGAACTCAGCCGCTTCCTGCATTGCTTCTTTGTGGCGCTTTTCCATACGAGGCGCTCTCTTGCACTCAACGAGAGCCGATATCGCTCGACCCCCGCCGCTTCTCTGCAGCTGCCCGTCGGTGACCGCTGTGAATTTGCGATCCTTCTTGTCCCCTGGGCGCCTCCCGTAATTGATCGTCAATTTCACATGACGACTTCTCCACCGCCGCCCAGCGGTAGGGACTAGGTCTGTGATACCTTGCAGTAGGGTAATGAGACTTGAGTTGATAGACGTCTCGTCAATATCTTCGAGCTGCTTCTTCTTCGTCAGGCCTTCAATGACTTCGAGATATTGGATCTGGGCTTGGCGGAAGGCGCCTGGGATTCTGGCAGCTCCCGCTCCGGCCGGAATGGCCCCCAGAAACTGCAAAAAGCCGGGGTTTAGCAGTGCGGCTTGGGCTTGTGCAATGTAGGGCGTGAGGCCCCATCTGTTGGGATTTAGCGATCCGGGGGCAGCGGTGGTGGTGAGAATTCTGAGGAGCAGGAATTGCTCTTCAGTGATTTTCGAGCCTGACTCCAAAGAGCCCCGCGACTTGATGGTCTGGTTGATCAAGCCGGCATTGGCTGCTGCTATACTCCACTTGGCTGGGGTGTCAGGTGGCAGCTTGAATAACGTCCGAGGTGCCATCTTCTAGTGGGCCGATGAAGGGGTATAGGTGGTGGGAACGGCGGTCGAGAAAAAGTGAAAGAGGAAGATGAAGGTTGTGCGGAGAAAATCAGAATGAGACTTGAGCACAAAGCAGGTAGGTCGAAGAACAAGAACATCCTCTGCAATTATCAAGTTGAACAAGACTGTTTATAGGTACCTAGTGCTTGATCACTACGCGGCATTATTGGTATCCGAGAACCTTGGCCACAAGCCATCAGATCTCAGCAGAGAATTAAGCCCCAGAGATTATAATGTATTCTGAATGGACCAGATACTACTAAATCTCTTGTTGATTCCCTTATCTGCCTGGTAAATCCTAGGTCCCTCGATTGTCTTCTCATCACTACAATGACGGGAACTGATCTCTAAGCCAGGAGACCTAGCCCTCGACTTCAAGCATTGAATCAGGTTGCGGATTACGAAGATGTCTAAATTACTCTCTTTTTATGTATCGAGGTGGTTCGTTTATCAAAACTGGCTTGGAGAGAACTATTTAAATATTTTAGGTTTGATTTAAGGTTTGATAGGGTTAAGCGAAGCACAGATCGACCACCATGGCGCCGGCGGGCCGACCACAACAAAGGGGACCGTCATACTTGAGGTGAATTGATGTAGGCAACAGAACCGAGGAACAGAACGGTGCCTTGTGATCTTCCGTCACATGACCATTTGTCAGAAGACGAGCATCTTAGCTTAGCATACCTCACAGATAGTTCAGAATGAGACACACATGACAAAGCCACCTCTTACATCTTCCCCTTAATTCTTACCCTCTATCGTCACCTCCTGGAGACCGTACCTCATTCCTCAACTTCACCAGACGCGCTATACCGTCCTACGTGGTCTTCATTGGATTCTTTATGAGAAGTCTTCAAAATGCCCCACGAAAATCGCATAGCGAGGAACCGCCTTAACTTCCTCTGGAAGCAGTTAGTTGATGAGAAAAGGCTCTCCACCTGGGACAATGTGGTTAGCGACATAGGCCTCGCGGAATACGACATCACTCGCCAGGGGTATGACTTTGAAAACCTAGACGACGAGTCTTCCAACCTCGGTCAAACTCCTCCTATCCTTTTCGTGCCTCTGCCACTCGCGGAGCTCCGTGCTCATCCCATTGCGCCTGAGTGCCTCGAACACATGAAGTACAGCGAATATGACCCCGATGACAGTACTTGGTCGACGCCGCGGCACTGCGCACATAATACAGCTACGTACTTGGACCATTGTATGAGTGGTTTCAGACCAAGTCTTGCGGAAAAGAATACTTGTACCGATTTTATCTGTAGCGAATTTATGGAGCGGGAAAACTTGGAACCTCTTTGGTCAGTGAGCTCGCCGCCGTGTATCCTATGGTTTGGCGATACATAGTGACAGACAGCTGCTGACTACCTTTTCATTCCAGCCCTCCCAACCCTTTCTGGTTTGGCTGGGGACTCGATGGACCCGAATGGCAAACCATTAGTGCCACTTCCCCTGGGCAGGTAGACGGCCAGGATGTCTACGCAAACCTTACCTTGCAAACGGTTCATTCGTTTTACGGCGTAGAGGGCGCAATGCACTATCACGAGCTCGTGGTCATCATATCCGCGATGAGGAATCGCGCTCGCCAGTTCAAAGTGGATGATATGGATATGGACGACGATGATGAGATGCGAGAGCTCGAGGATACTATAACCGAGAAAGAATGGGATGAATACGACCGCGTCTTCCCAAAGGAGGCACGGTTCCCAGTCCTCATGACCTCGTACTTTGGGCCGCAACACGGCAGGGTGTTTTACGCCTGCATGGACGGTCAGCAACTCATTATCCGCCAATCGAAGATCTATAGTTTCGAAAGATTCGAAAGCGCGCCTATCGAGCTGTTCACCCGACTTCTACTGAGCCGTCCTCTCGCAGACCCGCTTCTTAGCTTGCCATAGACGGCGGCTTGAAATACTTGCTCTGGTCGTTTTGTGAACCGATTCACAAGCTGGGATGAAGCCTAGAATGGCGGTAACACCAAGGAGACATTGGAGAGCGGGAAAAAGCGTTGAGACAATGATTGGAGACCAATTGGGCTTTATTTGTACCAGACCTATAATTAGGAAAGACAAATTTCTAATTAACTATGCCTTTTGTTAATAAGACGTGTACTCAAGTACCAATTTGATAGGCAGTTGACAACATTGGAGAAGATCAATCAAGAGAAACTTGATTCACATAAGAGCCTCCACAGTTTGTAAGCCAACTAGGAGTGGCAAAGGGAGGTAACGAGAGGTAGAACTCCCAAGTACGCATCTGTATAGACGATAGCCATCTAGATCCTGTAAACTGGATTCTTAGTACTACTCCCAGGCATATACAGACGAACATCGTATTGTGCAGATTCGACTTTGTTCAGGTAAAGACCAGCCCGAAAACGCTCCGGAGAGAGATTATTGGGGGACGGTCAATTGACTAAAGAAGTATAACTCAACATGATCAGGATATCAAGAGAGCTGTACTCTGGTATAGTCATAGAAAGAAGCGCGTTTATCTGTAGTATAGGAATAAATAATATCTGGACACAATGAATTTATGTCTGCTCCCTCCCCATCAGCTCCCCTGCCGGATGCCGCGACTCTAATTCCACCGGCCGTGGATATTTTGGGCCCATTTGACTCTGTAATATCATTGCGGTTGTGTTTGTCGACAGAAATTGCGGTCCCAGAGATATTAGTGATTCTAGGATAATGCCAGTATATACATATCTTCCCGGACGCCCCCTTCAGTCTAATAGACTTGTTGACTTGGTGGAAGTATCTTGTAAGATATTGTGCAGACTTTTGCCCTGCTTCATCCAGTGCATCTATGAAAATAATAAGGGGTTGTCTTCGGGCGGAAGCAACAAGATTCTTATAAAGAATTCTCTCCAACTCAGGTTGCTGCCACTCCCAGCTTTGCCTGGAACAACCAAACAAAGTATATTTACCCTTATATATTTTGCGCACTCCTGGGCGTATATCAGTATCTTGATAGTATAGCTGGTTAAGCAATGACCGCAGCATGCCTAAAGGCGTGCGCTGTAACTCCGTCCCGCATGCACTGAAGAAAAATTCCAGCAGGGTGCGTTGCTTGATAGTGTATGATTTCATAAAATGTTAATATAAGAAGGCTATAAGAGTCGATTTGCCAGCCCCTGGGTTTCCTTTAATCCACAGGAGACTGTTAGGCGCGTTCATCCAGTCCTCAAACTCTTGTAGTTTAAGAATCCAAGTGCAGGTGTGTATATAAGGATTCTCAATATTGTCCGTCTTTGAAACATCTCTGGAAATGCGGGAGCCAAGGACTGTTTATAGAGTGTCAATAATGAAACATTGGGGAAGGCCTCAGCGCTGGTAAGCATAAATTTACCTTCCTTGTCAATGTCTATATTATTGTCTCGAGACCCGCCGCCACTGAAGACAATGCTATTAGCATTGATCGTCTGATGGACGCCCCTGGAAATGGACGGCGTCCGCGCGTTTCTCTGTCGATTTCCATAATCAGCGTGGTATAGTAGGCGTGGCTCTACTCCACTTTGAAGGTTGTTGGAGCTCCGGCGCAGTTTCACTACTCTGTCGACTCCCTAACATGGCAACACGGAGGGCAGAGGTAACTTGATGTCGCAGAGCCTCAGATTTCTCACGTCGCAGGTGAGGGGTGCGCGAGGCTGTGCGTATAGCCAATCATAGAGAATGCAATAAGCGAGGCGCTAAGGACTACGACCCCTGTCAGCTGAAGGCAACCCCTCTTGCTCTTGGACATACTGCTAACTGGGAGGTAGTTGATGGATGTTGTGCATGTTCCGCCATTCGCGATATATGTCCGCCTCCAATCCTTTGAGCCCCAGCCGGTGGATCGAAGTGTCTATGACATTGCAATCATCTGTGCGCTGCCTGAAGAGTTAGACGCGGTTGAGGCGGCGTTCGACTGCTTCTTAGAAGATGATGGGCTTCACTACTGCAAAGTTGCAGGGGATCCAAACGGCTACACATTCATTGGCGCGCCCACCATGTAGTTCTGGTATATATGCCTGGAATGGGAAAAGCCAGCTCCGCCAGCCTCGCTGCCAGCTTGCGTGCACGCTTTTAATATAAAAGAGTATACCGAGTATATCATCTGTTATACAAGTTTAGGATCAATCAAATCTACACCAATATACTAGTTTAAGAATATAAAACAGACTAGACAATGTTTGGTCAAGATATTGGAGTTTAAAAATTGGTGGATTAGTATGGGATACAGAGGTGGCTAGGTATCCCGCTTGTGGGGCTATCTCGCTAGTGAAATACGTTAAAAGTATAAGGTATTGTTATGTATCTGTAATCACAGAATGAGCCTAAAACAAACTAGGTATCCTCTCTGGAATATTGAAGGCAGTAACGTGTAGCGCGGAAAGACCACCCTTTTGTGTCTAAAGACCACGCATAACCATGGTCTTTCCACTGTCACCAACAATTACTCCGTAGCGTGGGGCAGCCCTCTGAGCGGGGAGATTGAGGACACTGAAATTGGTTCTAAAAGCGGCAGTATGTTATGTATTAGATGTTTAATGAGCGCACAAGACAGAGCATAAATCCGATAGCCTTTGCCTTGAGTCTTTGTCTCTGACCTCGCATCATATGGACGGTTCGAACCTGGGTGCCTTACCAGGATGGCAAAAACTGAATCAATGGAGGCTGCTGCGAGAACTTTCTTGCTGTATCCACCAGGATTACCGACGCAAGCCGTTTGAGCACCAACATTCCCAACACTGACTTATTTCTCTTTGATGCTCCTTATCTCAAGCTGATCAGCACCTATTCATCAGCTTTGGGTAGTATCAAGTTACTGCACTATTTCTCTTCTAAATCTGCGGAAGGAACATTATGCTATCTATTACAAGGTAGCTGACGTATTTATTCGCTATCATGGTGGACTGCACATAGGATTATCTGCTTAAAAACACAGCTACTGCGCACGCTCGCTGCAATCACCCAGTATAAAAACACACCTCTTGTATCCAGAAGGCAGTGGGTATACTGTTTGCCCGGGTTCCTGAGAAAGGAGATCTCCCTTCATCAAGGCGCGGTCCATTGGACTTTGAGTCTAAGGCTGCCTTTGCAGCTTGCCTGATATCACCCAAAATGCTTCACTCCATGGCTGGTATTTGTAAAGTGGACCGATTGCCCCGCGGCAGGGGCTATGTCAGGTCGGGCCATGGTGCCGATAGAAATATGAACAGGACTGAAGCTGCCGAAATAGAAGAGTGCCAGGAGTAGTGTCTACCTGGCGGACGCGAACCTCGAAGCTCAGCTGTAGGTGAGTATCGGTAGGAGAACAACGACATCCAGTGAACCCTGAGTTGTAGCTATACACTGCTCATATGATGCATCGTCGGGTTTTGTTTCGAAGCCTTTGCCTTAGGGGTGAGAAGACAGCAATGACACCAGTCACAGACCCAGGTGGATGAGGAGGCTTAATCCAGTATATAGCTGAAGATGCTATTCTGAGCAGGAGTCCTTCTGTGGGCTTTTGCAGCACCTATGACACCGCTGACGGTGCTTCCTGACTGCTAAGGTGGCTATAATGACAACGTCAACGTACTCGAAGTGGATGGCCAGACCTATGTATATTTTTCCACCGAAAAAAATTGCAGTGCTATCAGCAACTTGCATCTTGGAGCAAGCAAGCAGCGCATCAGGCCTTTGCAGCTGAAAGAGCGATAACTATATTTGCCATGCCTTTGCCAAGAGACCGTCGAGCATACCTATGAAATCATCAGGTATTTGCGAAGAATGGCAAGTAACAAACATCTCCTCAGATACTCTCCAGGTCATACTGATCCACAGGGAGCAGTCTCAGGGAGATTGTTAAATGGTCAGTCCTCTCCAATTAAGGATTGATAAAGATCCGGACCTTGCCCATGTCTATCAAAAGATTCGAGCTCCCCGCAGAATTGAGTTCAGGATCAGATCATCAGACCCATGGACACTTGCTGGAAGCTCCAGGTCTCGTGCTACGTGAAAAGGGCAAAGTGATACCTATTGAGTTCTGACTGTATGTCATCAGCATTAGTTATATACTATTGGACGGCCCTGATGATCCTGGTTGTAACGGACGTAGGAAAGGGGAAACTCGGCTGAATGAAAATCTCTGCGCGAATAGTGCAACAGTGATGTAGCTAATATTGTCCCCTGAGTCATTAGCAGATAGATGCGTTATCTAGATAGTATCTACTCTAGGTATAATTAATTAAGAGGTGACTGTGGTCGCAGTTCTAGAAGCGTCGCTCTATTTTCAACCAATCCAGTGTGTCAGTCCGTGCGCAAACGGCGAAACCGCAGGTTTTCGACCTCCTGCGCTTCCCCCCCCCCACTATTAAAAAGATGCTCTATGACATTATTATTTAAGCCAAGCAGTGTCACATGGGCCCGACTTTGCTCCCTCCATAGCTACTTTTCAGCTTTTTTCCTAGGCCTCTGATTTCAAGACCTTGACCAAAGGGAGTAAGACTTCACAGCTCTTATACTCCAAATCCCAGGAATTGAGTGAGATAAGTTCCATCAAAGTGGTTTGGTGTTGAAGGCGCATCTCCGGTTCGGTCGCATCGACGCGTGCTTCCGGCTTCATCATATCGGGATAAGACAGCGACTGGGAAGAGACTCACAATCTCGAGAGACTAGTCCATTAAAGATCCCCATTGTTTTCTCGGCCTTGAGCCATCGCCGCAGCTAGGTGCAAAGAGTGACGATCGGCTCAAGGGCATTTAGATCTATTCTACGGCGTCATGGGGACAAAACAACCATATATTCCCCCCTTAATTGGGTGGCTATATGATTTGGTCTTATGGTCATTCTCGGTGCTAATTGACCTGTTCTTCCGGGAAGTCCATCCTCGCGGTTCTTGGAAGATTCCTCGGAGGGGTCCGTTGATCCTA